GTTTTTGCTGGCTGTAGCAGCGCTATAGCGCTGCTATAGCGCTGCACAGCAAAAACACATAAAAATTAGAAAATTTTTGAGATTAATATAATGGTAAGAAATGTTTCGGTACCAAGTTGAAGTGCTCCGTTCATGTGTACTTTACATGTATTTGTAAGCAGAAATAGTGAATTTCCAAAATCCATTCATTTTTTTTTTCATTTTGCAGTATGCCAGTGAACGAGCCAGACTTCATTTCCGTGGTTTTGTTCTCCAGCGAGCATATCCACGTCTGGACGTAAATGTTTCTGCCGGACTGAATCATTTACTGAAGAGTCCATTTTCTGTGCATCCGAAAACCGGCCTTATTGCTGTTCCCCTGACACCAGATCAGATGCCCGATGTGGATCTTAAAAAATTGCCTCGTATAGAGTAAGTCATTGAAGTTTTTACCATTCAGACAGGCCGGAAGTAAATTGGAAAGGGGCTGAAAAGCCTAGAAATAGCTACATCCTTCATAGGTAGCTGAACCGCAGTATTCTCTACAGCTTCAGCTAGGATAGAAGGCATAATTCTTGACTTTGTGAGCAGTCTGTATTCCCCTGTAAATGATTTATAATTTCAGCAAGCTTGTGCGGGAAACTTCAAATATGAACGGGAATAACGAAACGATGGAAAACGATAATACAGGAGGTTAAAAAATTATTTAATTTATTACTTAATTTAAAGTTATTATTTAATTTAAAGTAAAAGTCAGTGTGAGGAAACACCACGTTAATCAATAAACACTCAAATTTTGTATGACATACATGCAGAAAACCGTTTGAACAACCGACGTGGGGTCCAAAATTGAGAATCTTATAAGATTTTCCCACACGTCGGCAACGTGCCAGAATTTTCGATTCTAGTCTACAATTCGATATATGTACTTTCATCACTTTCTCTGGGCTTGTTACACTGATTTGCTCTGTATAGTTGCCTTATTCGAAAGCCGGAACAACGTATATTCTTGCCGGAAGCATACGGTGATTGTTTGCTGTTTTGAGAAAGGTCTCTATGGAGAGATCTTTGAAAATTTGCCAAGCACCAGTCCGGAATCAAGCCTGAGATTCATGTTGATTGGAACTGAAAAAGCATAATTTTACAGACAGCTCACTTCCACCTGCAATCAAACCAAGCGCCGTTAATAATTTTCTCATTTTTTTAATAGTGATTTTTTCAGGAACTATAAATTCTTCTCTGGCTCCGTATATTGCAACCTTCGAGCAATTTGTGAACCAGTTGCTAATTTATGAAGAGTCAGATCCATCATAGTCCGATTAAGATCTGAAAATTGGATAGGTGATCTTCTTTCGTTAGGAACTGTGGTGTTTTGAGAGATCAATGATTGCATTCCGTAATTTCCCAACTATGAATTCGGGACTATTGTTGCCGTTTTTTGAAATATTTCTGAAATTTGTATTTGCGGGAAAAACTCGCGCTCATATCGTTTATTCAATTGCATATGTAACACTTTCATAAATAGCAGTGCGTAATTTTGAGTTAAGTTTTTGTTGTGTCTGATAGGCTGGTAAATCCAATCGGTTGAAACATGTATGCGCACGCGGCAAACTATCCTCCGATCCCCATTTCTCTGAAAAAAAAATGGCTTGAATTTATAAAGAACCTTGAACTTGAGTTTATAAAATCAGAAATTCTTTATTTTAAAAGAAAGTATTTTTGTCGGATCTGCGGCATGGCCGCGCCTGACAGAGAGGAACATTCCAGTAACATTGCTAACTTCGGATCCTCACAACAGCTTTCTGAGTGATCTTGGTATTCCTAGCATAGTCATTTCCGTTTTTTGATTTCGGCTGCATCTGGCCAACGCAATATGGAAGTAGAGAAAATGCAGACCAAACTGCGAGGTGCTTTCGTACTAACGAGGTCCTGTTGCGGTATTGAGTTAAGAAGTATACGACTTAATGGACCGAAACGTCTTATCTCATTCTTATCTTCTCATACTGTTCTTTCTTTCTGTATTCTAGCGCATCTTCAGCATTTAGGCTTTCAGG